GTAGTAGTAGTAGCAGGAGGAGGTGGTGTTCGTCGTCGTTGGGGGGGTGGTAGTAGCAGCAGTTGCCATAGGAGTCCTTCAGCTCAAGCTTCACGTGCGCTGTGGACTCGCACAAACTTGAAAGATCACAGCTTTCAGCTCCAAAGTCAAAGTCACAGCCTTCAAGTGGCAGTTCTGCACGGCCCCGGCAACATGATACCCAAAAACGGGGCTTAACAGTAAGCGTGGCGTCAGAGCTTTGGTTCTGCATCACATGTTGACGAGCAGCGGTAGGCTTTGGGGGGGGTGGGGGCTTGGCAACAGGGAGGGGGTAGCGGGGCGAGGTGTAGCTAGAGCGGGCTCTTGCTGGCAGTTTGAGAGGCTTGGATAGTTTCAGGTGGGATGCTAGGACTGCTGGACCCGCCGGCCAGGCAAGCAGCAATGGTCTCCTTGTCATGTTATGGTGTCAAATTTTGCGGATGCCCAGCATGGAATCATGATTCAAAGTCCCTGATGCCCTGCTCCGAAGACTACCTTGAGAGCGTCCAAGCAAACATGACCTTTCACCAGTCTTTCCGATTCATTGTCCTATGCCCTTTCAACGACGATGATCGATGCCAGGGCACGCACACAGTAGGCACGCTTGCGATCTGCGGTCTTGTTGGTGACACACTGCCATAATCCTGCCAGCACCACGATGCTCATGCCAACTATGGACCACGCAGCATCTGAATTTTGGCCACAGCTGCCGCCATCCGTCCTTCGAGGTACTGTCTGGCTTTATGTTGAGGACCTGTGGACAGCCGAGGGAAAAGAGGAAATGAATCTGTCCAATGACATCAAGTGGTGGTGAAGAAGAATCAAACTGTGGAAAATCAAAGGAATTCTCACAAGGTCATTGGTGGAGGAGACGTTGCACTACGTGTACGAACGCGCTAGGAAACAGAGTTGTCTAGACCTCAGGATTTCCTCTGCGGCACCGTAAATCCGGCTCTGATGGTGAGTGCCATGGGAATTCAACTTCAATCAACATTGCATGCAGATGTGGCAGAAAACGCAGTCGCCTGGTGTCAAAAGAATCTGTCTCATCACACATAGGCTCGAAACAAGTAGCATGTGTTTGTTTTGCGGTCTGGTAGCGCAACTAGTCGGCTTCCAGCACATCTGGGCAACATCACACCTAAACATACACTCACGTTGAGCTATCTGTCATGCATCAAGGAGAATGTGCCACCCATACTTAAGCAGGGACATGAGTAGGAGAAGCTTCGCGAACTGATACAAATGCAAGGTGAGGCTGTGAAAGGGTCTAAGCATCAAACAGAGGCTACATCACCTGCCTGCGACTCGTCCATTGCTGCGTTTAACGTTTTGGTCTGTCCCCCTTGGGATCCCAGACCCGGCATATGGAGGTGATGTGGAGCAACCCTATCGCGGTGACTGTCTCACAAGGCCTGGCCTACGATGCTTGAAGTGACTGATCAAAGTCGAGATTGCGGACTAAATCATGAACTGATCACCAAGGCCGGCTTGTAATCGTAAGCTGGCTAACTACTTAGGTTTGCAAGCCCTCCATGCGAAACCCACCAGCCAGAAGACAGCCACGCGACAGGGTTGCGCCTAGCTGTCAGACATGGAAGCCTGCCTGTTAGAGCCAAAGAGGCGGTCAGCGTTGGCATGATATGGGCCATGGGTGTTACCCAGAAAGCGGGGACCTGGAGATACGTGTACAATTAAACCCTAAACCCCAAATAGTAGTCTCCATTTCATTTTCCATTGACTCTATGCAACCCCAGTATCACCCCAATGCAACGCCTATATATACATATATATATATAGAGAGAGAGATATATACAGATATATATATATACAGATATACATATATGACACACAGCCTATGCGGCTTATGGGAGTCCTGAGCAAAGACTCTCTAAGCGCAAGTATGATAAGCTGATACTTCTAAACTCCCATGCGGAGCATTGTCGGAAATGCGTCCAGCTTGATCCTTCGCGAGAAGGCCGGAAAGCATTGAGATCTGAGAATAATCTGCCAACCCCCAACCCCCCGCCGGAGCTGTCATCAAGCCCAATGCTCCCACTGATGAAATGTACCCAAGCGCAGAGTATCGTAGCAGACCCGGGCAGGGTTGGAACCAAAATAGCAAATGCTCAGAGTTTCAACTGTCTTGAGAGACAGATTCCTGACATTCCTGCAGGTGCAAAAAGTAAACTTGCAGCCTTCTTGCAGATGCAGTCGACGAGCTCTGACCGTCTCATACCACCCCGAGTCAGGCTAGAACTTCCAGCATATCAGAAGACCCAGTCGAACTAAGAAATGGAACTAGACAGGCAACTGCAAGTGAACGTCACATGTGCAAACGTCGATCATACTTGAGACTGGAAGCTCCAAACACTTAGCCGCTTCACGTGAGAGAAAAAAGCAAAGCCCTCCAAGCCCTCATTCCGGAAGCCCCATGACAGGCCCTTGAGCAATGCACAGAGAGGATCTGCGGCAGGTGCCGGTCGAGCTGGTTCGCATGGGCATAGAGCCCTGCATTGCACATTCCAGAAGGGCTCATGGGGCTGGACAGCTGGACGGGATGTCAGGGTGTAGGCTCTGGAATTTCACCATTCAGCAGTTGCAGTTCTGAGGTTGGAATGGCCTTAAGATGCCTTAAGAATTGAAAGGTCAGGTGAGAGGAGGGAGTTCCAAGCTTCTGCAGGGGGTATGCGGATTGATGGACTGGGAGTGGTGAAACGGCAACTGTGTGTGTGCTGGAGGCCGATGAAATACATAGCTTTCGAGCTAGAACTGGTTTCATACTCCAGCCATCGTTGCCTGATCGTGGGGCCTGCACTGGGACCTGCTGAAGAGTGTGTTGGCTTCCTCGCCGACGGGCACATTTCAGGACCCTTACGGCGATGAGGAAAAACTCTGCCTGAATGCAAGCTGGATGAAGGCAGGTCTTTAAGCGGAAGGAGCCCAACTCAATGATTCGGAATGTTGGAATTGCACACAAGAAGGAACGGGGAGCGAGAGAGAGAGAGCGAGAGCGAGAGAGAAAGAAAGAAAGAAAGAAAGAAAGAAAGAGAGTGAGACAGAGAGAGTGAGAGAGACAGGCAGACAGACAGAGACCCCTGGCAGCAGCTCTGGACGTCAACAAACGCCCTCGTATTTTTCCACCTAAGCGCATCGGCGGTCTGCAACCTCTGCGTGGAACATCCCTGCCAGTGAGAGCCAGGGCCCAAACTCGCGTGATATTCATATGTACAACTGATAGTCATATGTACAACCTAACCAGCCACCCACGAAAGCTGCAAGCGTGGGTACATCTTTCAGGGTCCAGCCTAGTATCCTGCCAGCCGACACCGGCCGGAAACCTTGTGGCCAAACTTGTTGTAGGGGCCGAGCCGAAGCCAGACAACGGGCTTTACCCCTTTGGAAAATGACGAACGTCAGAATGCGAGGACACCACAAAAAAGGGCACCTCAACTTTCCGGATACTTTTGGGTTGAGCCCTCCTGTCTTAAAGGTGGCTGCGTGCGAGGTGTCTGCTGCATCGTCTGTACGGAGCATGCAGCTTTGGGGTCTGTGAAAGGACCTATCCTTTGGTTGAAGCTGAGCTTCAAAGGTCTACTCCAATGACAGCGATACGGGCAGTAGCGACGGCTGTGAAAAGACACGTATACCGTCGCATGATGGCAGCGATGTCGACGACAACGACAATGGCGACGACAACGGACGACGACGACGACGACGACGACGAGGACGACGACGACGACGACGACGACGACGACGCCGGCGACGACGACGACGACGAGGACGACCACGACGACGACGACGACGACGACCACGACGACGACCACGACGACGACCACGACGACGACCACGATGACGAC